TGGCTATTGGGAGGATTAGGTACTGAGTAGGAGAAACCTGTGAGAAAATTATGTGAGCCATTTAATAAATATCCATATTGTTCTTTCTGTGCTCTAGAAATCATTCACTTCAGTGTTAATTCCAGCAACACAAACAGTTTCTATAAGATAGCGAGAGGAATAAACATCAACTAGCACAAGCAAGCATATTTATGCCACAGTGTAAACTCTGAGCTCGTACGTAGGAACAATCCAGCCAGAGAATGGCCCCTAAGACCATATCCTATGTGTATTTATTCCAGTGTAAGTCCTGACTACTCGGTCCCAGGAAATGCCCATAAATTGCAGGGGTCAGCCCCATGAGCTGAAGGGTGAAGTGCTATACAGGGTGACAAACACAAAGGAAGGTCTCTGCCTTCAGGATGTTACAATGGTGTTCTCGCTCAACTGCTGCGCACAATCCCTACCCCTTTATTCAGAAGAAATATTCTAGTTTCTTTTTAGTCTCCTGTTCTAATAAGACCTCCTTCCACATTTGTGTTTGTGCGTGCGTGCGTGTGTGTGTGTGTGTGTATAATATATGTAAGGTTTATTTGTAAGGTATGCCTTGTCCTCATCATCCCATTCAGTTACAAACACGCTCATTTAATTTGCAATCCTATGGAAGTTTACTCAGAAAAACGCCTACAATTCCCAGCCTGTCCCAAGGATTGGGAAATAAAGATTCCGTTCCCCATTCAAGCATGAAGCTCAGTCGGTGTGACTTTGGGCTAGTCACTGACTCCCAACTTAATATAATTAAAAATTTAATTAGAATTAAAATCAGGGGTGGTAGGTTATATGGATCTTCTTGGCTCTATATTACAGTCCCAGCCAGCAACAGTGTTCTACAAAATTCCATGAATTTAGGTCCCAAACACCCTTAAATCTATAGGCAGCTTTTCTTAATCTTTACTCGGAGGGTCAGGATCCAGAGCAAGGTCCTAGCACAGAGGGCTTTTAAGATCTGGATCAGCCCCCCTACAATTCCTATAGAGGTAACATGAAGAAAGACACAGACTGCTGGAGCGGAATTTAACTTAACGTCTGTTTTGAGTGTGGCCCAGAAAGCTTGTCCAAAGCTGAATTCAGCGTTTGGCTGAAAGCCGCATGATAATTCAGTCTTCGAATGAATTTTGCACCCCAAAATTTGTTCTGAGTGCCAGATCCGAACTCTGCTCACTGACTTCTCACCACAAAACACCACTGCAGCTTTTCCCCCAAGACTCCCTTCATTTGTAGTAGTGTAAATGTACGGCACCGTAGGAAAAGGGCATTTTGTACCTTCTGCCCTTCAACAATCAGGTGTGAGAAATCCTTACCCAGAGGACCCACCTGCAGATGTAGCAGTTTGGACCCCCGAAGTGGGTAGCATCCTCCCTCCTGTCCTTGGGTGAACTGGACAGCTCAGCAGTGCCTTCGTTCATCCTGAGGAATGTGTCGGAAGATCAGGACTCTGTGTTTTCCCAGCCCGTCACTCTCGCGCGCTGCGTTTTACACAGCTCGGTGCATTCTTACAGCTTGGCACTAAAATAAAATACTAATCACTGTAGTGGAAAAGACTGTGAAGGCATTGTGTGAGAATCAGCAATCTCTAATTCTGACGGTGGCCCCAATTTGTAAGGCTCAGCAACTCCAGGCATAGCTGAAGAATGAAACATAGAAACATAGAAAACAGAGCGAGTCAGAAGAGGCCTCCTGGGCCATCTAGTCTGACCTCCGGCACCAGCCGGCTCCACTCACGACATGCCCACCATGTGGACCTCCAGCCTATCCTTGAACACCCGCACCGATGGGGCCTCAACGACCTCCCGGGGAAGCCCATTTCATACCCTGGGGGTCCTAACCATCAGGAAGTGCTTCGTGGCATCCAAATTGAACCTTGGTTCCCTGAGCTTGGCTCTGTTGGAGCACGTCCTGCCCTCCTTTGCGGGGGAGAACAGGTCTCTACCCACCTCCGTGTGACACCCCCTCACACACCTGTATGTCGCCAACAGATCCCCCCTGAGTCTCCTCTTCTCCAGGCTGAAGAGACCCAGTTCCCTCAGTCTTGCCTCATACGGCATCCCCTGCAAACCAGCCACCAACCTTGTGGCCCTACGCTGCACTGACTCTAACCTGGCTATATCCTTCCTGTAATGAGGGCCCCAAAACTGAGCACAATACTCCAGTTGCGGGCGCACTAGAGCCGTGTAGAGTGGTAGTAATACCTCTCTTGATCTGGAAGCCACACTTCTGGCTATGCAACCAAGGGTGGCGTTCGCCCTCTTGACCACCGCATCACACGGCTGGCTCATGTTCAGCCTGCAGTTGACCAGCACCCCGAGGTCCCTTTCACAAGTGCTGCTCTCCAGCCACTTGTCCCCCAACCTGTACTTATGACACCTATAAGACCTTGCACTTATCCACATCGAACGCCACCCTGTTGTCTCCTGCCCACTTCCATAGTCTGTCCAGATCCGTTTGGATCTGGAGTACCTGCTCCTCAGTTGTGGCCACTGCTCCAGTTTTAGTGTCCTCTGCGAATTTGATCAGAGACTGTTCACCCCTTCTCCCATGTCGTTAATGAAAAGATGATAGAGGATTGGCCCCAGGACAGAGCCCTGGGGGACCCCGCTTGTCACTGGCCGCCATCCCGATGATTCCCCGCTAATGGTTAATGAAGAGGGAGGCATGGAGGGGAACTCTTACTGCAAGCAGCTGAACATCCGCTTTCTGCAAATATGAGAGACGCACGGCTGTTGCAAACCTTGGATCAAGGTGCCCAGCGGGTTGTTTTAACATTTCCGATGGTGTTGCAGGATTGCTGCGGGTTGACTAGAACCCTTCCAGCTCTGAAACCGATTCTGTCAATTGCGTTTGCTTCCTGCTTTCCCTGCAAGGTCACCTTTAATGGCGACTGCATCCCACACACCCCCTCCCCAAATAATGTGAGTTGCAGTGACGGTACTTGGAGAAGGCAGGAAACCAAAGGTCTAACTGAAGATCTGGAAGTTCCTTATCCAGATACCCATTGCATCCTTTGCGAGATACAATTTCGTGTCAAGTTTCGACATTTAAAAATGCAATTGCAATTGCTGCTTTGGTTCTGGTGTTTTAAGTTCATGTTTGTGTGCGTGTTTTTAACTCTTGTTAACTGCCCAGAGAGTCTCAAATGTTAAATAAATTCCCTACCACCAGGTCTGCAGTGGTTCCACAATGTGGGCAAAATTATCTAGTAGTTGTGAGTGCATCTTGTTCCTGATCCTGCATAGACGAAGTGGGGGTATCCATACTCAAGTGAGCCCAAGGAAACCCAGAGACTGTGAGGCACAAGAATTGAGGGTTAAAAAATCCCAACGGAGGGACGATCCAAGCAGTCTTACGGCTTGGTATCCGTGGCCACCACACATGTGGAGCAGGGAAGCGTCTTTCTGTCAGTATCACGGCAGTTATGCTTTCTCCTTACTGATTTTATTATCGGTAAGAAAAAAGATGAGAGCAGTGGAAAGCACCAGATTATGACTGTTCGTTTCATTTCTGGGCTGCCCATTACGCAAAGCAAAAGACAATGCCATCTGGACCCACGAGGAGGAGGTTATGCATTGCTACAGAAAAGGCCTTATTTGGATGCTACTTGACTCTTGTGCAGGGAGCCAGAAAAGTCCACGCATGTGAACCGAATACTGTCTAGAGGAACAGGGTGATCCAGAGCCTCCGTTGCAGCTTCTACGGCAGCAGGAACCTGGAATTAAATTCATGAGAAATGGCCACAGGCTCAAATTGGAAATGTGGCAGAGCCACAAGGTTCCATCTGGATTTAGGAGAAAACATCTTCCAGAAAGAGGGCATGTTGATTTCTAAGGCCCGAGTCCTCAGTTCAGAAATTATGCATTGTTGAGATCCATTAAACACCCACCCGCTTGGGTGTTCCCCCATCTGCTTTTGTCTTTGGCATGGGCCTTTCCCTCCCAGGCATCTAATCTTGAAATGATGCAGTTGGCCATCAGTTGCAGCTGTACCAACATCAGTGGGTTCAACTTTGCACGGAAGAGAAATGAGCCATAAATGCAGATGGCTAATTTTGTTTTTGACAGCCAAAAAGCCACATACTTCACTACAGTTGAAACCTTACTACATTTTGTACATCTACGATTCCACAGGAGCAGAAAACTCATAAATGTAATTTATGCAGGTTCCAGCTTCCTGGGAATCTCAGCAATTTTTAAAGAAGTTTCTGGGCCTCATGACAGGAAAGGTATACTTGAAAGGTCTGGCCGAGATTCTAAGGAAATGTCAGGATTTCATTCCACGGTCCTGGCTGAAAAAAGATCTTTCTCACAGTCCAGGTTATACTTCCTTGATTCACACATCTTTTCTGAGATTAGCAAAGCCAACCTAAAATTAGGCAAAACTGGGTGCTTAAGCAAATCTGTTCAGTTTGCATAGGCTGCCTTCCCCAACCTGGTGGCCTTCAGAGGCAATTGGACTGCAATTCCCAGAATTCCCATCCAGCAGGGCTATTAACTGGGCATTCTGGGCGTTGTAGTCCAAATGAGTCTGGAAGGCACAAGGTTGGGGGAAACTGGTCCATAGAGATTGCAAAGTTCAGCTCACTGCGGTGCAGAATTAAAAATTCTGGGAAACATTTTATTTTTTTTAGGACAGACCTGTGTTGAATTCGTAGTAACTGTCTCCCCCTTGCAGAGCTTAGGGTTAAGGTTAGGCCAGTGGTTTAGAGTATGCAACTTCAGACATAATCCGAAACCAATTTATCAACCATCATTTGCATTGTTAAGTACAAAAGCAGGACTGAGAGAGCAAACAATGCACTATCTCGCAGGTGATGGTGCAGAAAGCTCACAGGTAGACAAAACACCTAGTAACCACACGCAAACAGAACCATTCCCTAGCCCGCCTGCGTGAGTTTGAAGCTTCGTTCAGCCTGGGTACTGTGGATTTGTCTCCACTCACGCACTGACAAAGGACAACGAGCTCAAGCGTCGGCTTCGATCATTTCTTCTTTAATAGAAAGTGCCCTAGTAGAATTCCACAGGGAATCCAGATAAAAGGGAATGTGTGTGTTTCCGTTCCTCTCTAGTACAGAAGCAGCAAGCAATGTCTCTAGCACAACAAGGATCTGGAATGTCTGCCGGGTTCGTGCCTTGATACCCGAGAGATTCATGATTTCCTCAGCCCCTGCGTCTTCTGGATTTCCTGTGAGAAGGAGAGAGGCTGTCAGCTTGTTACACAGCAATTTGCAGAGAATCCCACCCCTCACCGCTTTGTTCAGGGACACAGAAGTGAAGCAGCGGCAACCTGGGCTCATTCGAGAGGGAACCTCGTTCTGCCTAGCACCAGACAATCCACCCATCCAAAGGATTCTGGGATCAGGTGACGGCAAGGGTCCGTGCGCACACTTAAAATATCGGGAGGATTGTGGGGACTCAGAATGGCAGAGGGGGGGGATGAAAGCACCTCCTCTCACCTTTATTGCGCAGATGGCAAACTTTAGAGGCTGAGAGATGTGGGACCCGGGAGCTTTCTTGTTCATAGACAAGGCACCGGCACTTGATACGTCACTCAGCAGGATGCCGGCTGCCCAGTTAAACTTTTTATTGGTTAAAAATTCTTTTAAAGTTTAAAAAAAAATCCGCAGGGTAGCCTAGGAGGCACTAAGGGAAGCACCTGCTGGCCCACTGCGGAGCTACGGAGATCCGGCCATCACACACTTCCACACGAAAGCAGGGGACCCTCAGAAAAATTGCCTGGAGAGAGGAGGGCGGCAGCAAAGGAAGAAGGCCGGTGAGGGAGGCGGAGGGGAGCCTGGCCCCAGGCTTTAGGGCAAGTGTTTCAAGTGCCTGAAGACATGACATTCCCCCACACTCCATCACGTGGCAAAACTGTTTTTCCTGTGTTTCTCGGCCTGTTCTTGCTTACGTGGAACGGCTGTTACTCTCCTTGAGCCCTCTGGAAGCTGGGCTGTATGCCTCACTGCGTAAAGAGGCCCCAGTTTTAGAATCCTGCCCTGCCGAGTTCACGGGGCGTTGAGCAGCCTGGCCTTGGCGCTCCCTTGCACGGTCCCCCTCCCCAAAAAGGGGTCACCAGGGCAGCCTTCCATGGGGAATGGCGTACAGCCTGAGCTGCCTCTCGCCTCGGCTTCCCTGTCCCTGAGTGACTTGCCTGGATAGGGATGGGTCAGAATTTTGCTCTACTGCCCTCAAGACCTGCTCTTTTGACCCTCCCTCCATGGTATCCTTGTCTGCTTTGCAGCACACGGTCCCTCCTGCCCCGTTGTGGTGTTTTCCCCCAGCTAAACCCGGTCTAATTACTCTGCTGGTGCTTGCGATGCATTCCACGCTTCTGGAGACAGAACATTTGTGAGCATCCTGGCCTAGCAATGGCACTGTGAGGCTCACGGACACAACATTTCAGCCTTGTCCGTAGGAGGAATTCACTGGGTGGACTGTGTACAAACATCTTCCCAAATGGGCTGGAGAAGCTGACCGCTCCACGGCAGTGTTCTCCCGGTTTTGTTCAGGGCCCTGCTGAAGCCGGGGCAAGCACTGTGCTGCTGGCTACAGGCGACCCTTCTGATCTCCCTGCTGCCACTAGGAAAAAAGGATCCCAGGAAAAGACCATGCCCTTTGCTGCAGGAGGGTCAGCTTCAGGCCATGGAATTAGGAGGCAAAGTACCAGGCCATGGATATTAGGAGGGTGAGTACCCGGAGGAGGGCCTTCTCTGCGGTGGCGCCCCACCTATGGAATGTGCTCCCCAGAGAGGTCTGCCTGGCACCGTCGTTATCTGTTTTTCGGTGCCAGGCCAAGACCTTTTTATTCAAACAATATTTTAATAACTCTTAATGTCATCTATAGGTTTTAATTTGAAGCCAGGGGGAATCTGGATTTTATTTGTATTATTTGTATTGTGTCTATTTATTTTATGTAAGCCGTCCCGAGGCTATGCGATGGGACGGCATACAAAAATCCTAAATAAATAAATAAATAAATAAAATTTCCTAGGGAGCAAGGGCCAAAGGCTCCTGGCAGCTTCCTGGAATGCTGTTGGAAGGGTCTTGAAGGCAAGCACATTGGAGCCCCTTCGTGTTGCCTATTCCCCTATCTAAATGCTCCCAGGAAAGAGCCTGTTGATCAGAGATCGGGGTGGGTGGCACCCCCTCTCCGCAGCCGGAGTATATGAGCTACGTACAGGAGCGCATGTGGTGCGCCTGGTGGTGGGCGCTGCATCAGCAGGCACTTGGCAGCCCCCTCCCATTGGCCTGGAGGGATGTGGCCACGGTTCCAAAGCGAGTCGTTCCACCTGCGCTTCGGCTCTGGGAAAGGGGTGGCGGTTGCAGCCGGATTCCACACTCCTTGACGGGGGCTGGAGAACTCACCTCCGCGAGAGCGTTCTTCAGCGCCAGGTATGCCTCCTCCACGTCGTCGTTGATAATGATCATGTCAAAAAGGCCGGGCTCCTTGCCTGGTGAATTAACACGCACAGATCAGCCCAGGCTGGAAGGAAGGCCTGGACACGCCCAGTCCTTCCTTTGGCCCCCCGAAAGTGACTGAAATGCCCAGCATCCCAGAACTGCCCAAAAGGTCGCCACTGCTCCATAAGAGAACTCCCAGCTGGCTATTTCCCCCTCTCCCCTCCCTGACACTTTTCCTTGTGTGCTGTGTCTTTTTTGCTGATTGATTGTAAGCTGCTCTGGGCATTTAGGGGGGTTGGGGCTGAGATGCAGGATTTAAAAAACAATATTTTAAATGAATAAACAAACACCAAACTTCTTCAGGTGGACCTGGAAAACATTAAGCCCTGCCAAACACCTGGCATTCCTTGCACAGGGTTTTTTTTTTTTTTTTTTTTTTGGTCTCTCCTTGGCATCTCTCATGTTTATGTGAATGTGCAAAACGGCATTCCCCAACCAGACATGTCGGACTACAACCCCCAACATCCCCAGCCAGCATGCAGCAGCTTTTGCATACTCACTAAGTTCCATGTCAATACAAGCCGTGTTCAGCCGCTTCTGTAAACTCTCCTCTGTTTCTGTCTTTCTGTCCCGCAGCCTTTTCTCCTAAAGGCAGGCAAATGCAAATGTGAAATTCACACTCTCCATCTGGGCTCGCGAAATCCTCACAGCACCAAGGTGTTTCTGCTTTTCCACTTAGTTGTGCTTCATGCTCACACAATTCTTCGACATGGAAGAAATGAGAGAACCGTGCATTGAACAAAACATTATATGGTATTTAATGCGTTGTTCAATGTACTTCGGTACAATCCATTTAACTGTCGTGCGCTTACAAAGTGAAATGCCAAAGAGGTGTTTAAGCTTCCTGCCAACAAACATTGATGATCTGCAGGTGCTGCAACATTCAGGAAAGGGAAGAAGAGGAGAGGATTTCCACCACTAGAATATGGAGCATGTTTTTGAAAATGCAGCTCAGGGGATCATAGAAGAGAAATGTTGTCACACCCACGTTCCCAAGTTCCTGTTCAGCATGTTAGCTGGCAGCCAATTTTAGCAAAACTGCAGAAACCGCCCAGAAGAGGGGCAGGCAACCCGCCACCCCCCAAATGTTTTGGACTACAGTTCCCATAAGCTTCAACAAGCATAAGCTAGGGTCAGGGTCTATGGGAACTGTGGTCCAAAACATCTGTAGGGCACCAGTTTGCACAGAGTGCAGCACGGGGGGGGGGGGGGGGGCATCATCCCATGACACCTGCCAAGCTCCAAATAGCGTAGGAAGGTCAGAACAGTTTCGATGTGTCGTATCAATGACGTCTGGCCCAATATCCTAACTAGAACAGTGGGCAGCCTGAAATTCCCAGGAAATTCAGAAGGAGAATGCCAGGGCAAAGCCGACTCTGGTGCCCACACCCTGCTATTCCGAAGTGATGAAAAGCTCCGAACACGGATTCCGTTTGCCCTCCCCGCTAATGGCCTTCGACTGCCACGGGCTTCTCTAACCTGCCCTGCAAAACTATCCGCCTTTCTCACAGGAGCTCTGCTAGGGCTGGGCTGTCACACGTGACTTTCAATTCAAGGTTCCTCAGCTGCTGAAGGGAGAAGATCGTGGCCGGCGGGTTAATTCTCCGTTCCCACTCAACGTATAAATGTTTTAATAAATAATAAATAAACAAACATCAAGCTTGTAACCCAACAAAGCACCAAGCCAGCTGTATGCTTTTCCCTGCCCCACCATCCCCTTGCATAATGGGCCTGTCGTGAGCGGAGCCGGCTGGAGCCGGAGGTCAGACTAGATGGCCCGGGAGGCCCCTTCTGACTCGCTCTGTTTCTCTGTTTCTAATTTGATGAAATCTTCTAGAGAGCCAAAGCTTTGCCACCCTGAGCAGTCCCGTTCATTCTGAAGATGTCGGAAACCTGCCTATTCGATAAAGGACGAGTCTCACTCACCAAGACTTCAATGGAAGGAGCCTGAATAGAGATGTAGATTGGATTGAGGTCTGTTTTTTTAATGTTCTTCACGCCTTGCATGTCAATATCCAGAATGCAGATTTGGTTCTGTGCTTGGACAGCCTGGACCGCCGCTTTGCTGGGAGGGAGAGAGGTTACTGCTCGCTAGCTGGATATGCGGCTTCCTAAGGAGCACCTTTATAACAAAAATGGGCCTTGAGGACCGGTGCCTTGAACGTGCCCAAATGATGCACCAATCCGTAACTGCTGCCTTAAAATGCTGAGCGGCTGAGACGACCGGCAGATAATTCCCTGTGCAACGGAAGACCTAGAAAGCGTGGGAGGATTTGGGACCAGGAGCACCACACAGGATGCCGTCAGTGTCCCGAGCTGATACAACGGCCCCTTTCTAACGAGGGTGATTGATTTATTTAGGATGGGCGTGGGGTAGCTCTTTCAATTCGAGGGCCAAATTCGATTTTGGAGAAGGCCGCAGGGGCTGTATTTCTGCATTAGGCAGGAACAAAATCAAAAGGCACCTACACGTTAGCAGAGACATACCAGACTTTCAGAATGAGGGAAGAGATTGTGGCAGGGCCAGCCAGACTGACGCCGGAGCAGGCAGCTTGGGCAACTCATGAAGACCCGGCTGATCCCACAAAAAGCCATTTCTCCTCCTCCTCCTGGCCCACCCTTTCCTCCAGTCATCAGTTCTTTGGAGGTCTCCCAGCTCTGTAGCCTTTGCCTTCGTTCAAAAAGCCCAAAATGTCTCTTGGCACTTACTTGTCCTCATTCTGTTGCTTTCAGGCCCATGATCAAGTTTATCAAGATTGCCCTGGATCTTCATTCTAGTCTGTTTGCAATTCCACCCAGTTTTGCATCATCTGCAAATTTAATTCTCTTTCCTTGTACTTCCTCATCTAAATCATTAATAAAGATGTTGAAGAGCACCGGGCCCAGGACTGAACCCTGCGGCACCCCGCTGGTTACCTCCATCCAGTGTGAGGAGCTGCCACTGAGGAGCACTCTTTGTGTCCGACTCAGCAGCCAATTTTGGATCCACCTAATAGTTTTTCTATCTAGTCCAGCGTTTGCTAATTTGCAGGGAATTCCAAAGATGGCGGGCTTTTATTTAACTGCATTCTAAACCTGGCTTGGCAGCCTTCGTGATAAGAGACATATTTGAAAGCACATTAGCTAGAAGGATGGACCGGCCAACAGTACAGCAAGCCATCCTCACTTATCCTCCCGATGACGTACCTTGTACCGTACATGTTCCCGGAAAACTCTGCATGTTCAATAAACCCCCCAGCATCAATTTCCTTCCGCATGGCTTCTCTGGTCACAAAATGATAATCTGGGGGAGAAAACAGGTTGATTTATGGCTTATCTGTGTGCCTGAATACTCAGAGACATGCATCAAATTACGTATCAAAGCGCACACCGCTGGAAGTGCACGGTCCCATCATCTGCCGTATTTGGAGGGCACCAGGCTGGGGGAGGCGAAAATGCAGAAACCCCTAGCCAAGTGCTGGCATCCAGTGCCGGAAGACTCAGCGCCTGCTCTCCTAGGCCATCTGATGTGGCACCAATCGCCAAGCTCAGCACGGGCACCAGCACCCACAAGCTCCCCCATACGTGGAAACGCGCACCATTTCCCACCAAGTGCCAGGCAATCCCGTCTGCCGGTGCAGCTGGCGGCAGGCCCGCTAAATCAGCACCAGCCCAGCTGACGAAAGGAAAAGTTCAGCCTGCGGCATTCTGTGCACGCGCTGGGAGGGGAGAAGGAAGGAAATGGGCTCCGAGCCTGAGCGAGAGCGAGCCACTGACATTCTGAGCAGCGCGCCGGCCCTCTGCCCCCGTCCTCAAGCGCCTGTTCGTGCCGGTTCCACACCACCTCATCCAGGAACACGGAAAGCCGCCCTGGAGGGACGGTTCCCAGCACAGTGTCTGCACGGACTGGAAGGTTTTCCCTCCCTCCCTGGAGGCTCGGAGGCCGAGCCATCTGCGTGCAGGCAGGGCATTTCCTGAATGGTCCCCTGGAAGAGCTGCCTCCGACTGCCCAGCTCAGCCAGCCCCACCCCTGACTGGCCCGGAACCATTCACTGGGCAGGGACGGGCGCGTTACGCCGGCCTGATGCTTTCCTTCCTGACATGCTCACCTAGAGATGCCTAAGGACACTGAGAGCCCGGGTGGTACAGTGGTTAAGAGTGTGGCACTGGGACATGACATCCGGAAATTCAAGGGCTGCTTTCGGCCCCTAAAGCCTTAAAGCATGGCTTCCGGATGTGGTCCCTTGTGGCTGCCATGTTGCTGCAGGCACCTCTGGCAGAGCCAGTGATGTGGTCTCTAACATGGAGCCCACAGGCACCCCAAACCAAATTTTATTTTGCTGAATTTCCCCCAGGTTAAATATGCACACATGAGTTTGTATAAAATGCTTACAACTTGCTCACTAGTTTGCATAGGCTGCAACAAGAGAGCCAGTGTGGCGTAGTGGTTAAGAGCATGGGACTGGGACTCAGAGGATCTGGGTTCTAGTCCCCGCTCAGCCATGGAGCCAGCTGGGTGACTCTGGGCCAGTCACAGACTCTCAGCCCAACCTACCTCACAGGGTTGTTGTTGTGGGGATAAGATGGAGGAGGAGAATGATGCAAGCTGCCTTGAGCCCTTTGTAGGAAAAAGGCAGGATATAAATCGAAAAATAAATAAATTAATTAAATTTGCCCTGCCTATAGTGGTGCCATCCCTTGTAAAATAAATAAATGAATGAATGAATGAATGAATGAATGAATGAATGAATGAAAACTCCCCAGGTGGCTGGGGGCACCTGGAAGGCTCCTGCGATGGCCACGGATCTGGGCACTCACCTTTTCCATCCACTTCCCCAGGTCTTGGTTGTCTTGTAGTATCTGAAAGCAATTTTTAAAAAATAACTTACGTTGCGACATGGCTGGAAAACTGACAGGCTGAGGTCTGGTTTGCTTGCCTCCCTGCAAGGAGCTAAAGCAGGGAACCTCGACACTCCCCGAACGTTCCCCTCTCCCCACCCCTTTTTAAAACCTGTGCGTGTGGATTTGTATGAAATGCAGCCCAAAGTCACATGCATACACAGACTTCAGAGGGGGACCAGTTGTCCAGTAGGTATGATTTTGGAGTTAAGATCCGATGTCACCTGTTCATACATCAAAAGACCTGTGGGGTCTGTTGTGTGATAGGCGGTATGTGTTTTTCCCACTGATTTTTAGGAGAGCCAAAGAGTCCAATGGGACGTGAAAGAAAACCGCAGGTCCACAGATACAGACAGACGGATGCCAAGGTGTCTGCAGCCGTGTCCTCGGCGGTTTCTTAAATCCCCAAATGTGCCCACAGGTCCAGAACGGTCAGGAAGCCCTGGTCTAAACAGCTTGTCTCACTTTTAATTGAAGGCTCGGCTTTTTCAAACACACACAGCCAAGCTGGGGACTGTCACCCTTGCCTCTCGCCGAGCTTTTTGAAGTGGATCGGTGGGAAGAGCTATATAGCAAGGGGACGGCAAACAAAAACTTTAAATAAATAAATAAATAAATAAATAAATAAATAATAAGTAAGTAAGTAAGAGGAGGCTGTGTGAAACAAAGCAGAAATTAGAAAGGAGAAGTGGCCTGGCTGTTATCTGTACAAAACTGAGAGGGTGGAAATTGCCTAATACAATTTATTTATATGAAGGAGAGAAAACTGGATGCAAAATACATCCCAAGGTGAGCATTCCCTGGAGTGCAATCAGGGCTTCTCCCTGCCAGCTTCACACGACCGGGGGCCTCTACCCAACGCCTGCAGAAAAGGATTGTGGGGATCCTCCAACGCAATGGAGCGCCCCCCTCCAGATGTGCTGGATCACACCATATGGCCATGCTGGATGGGAATGATGGAGGATCCGGGAACGATGCCTGAATTGCCCCAGGGTGGGGTACGCCGCTCTGACTGGCTGCTCGGAAAACAAGCCTGGTGGAGCAGAGTGATAATGGAGAGAAAGGGGGCAGAGGAACATCCCTAGGTGGGCAAGTAACCCATGGACTGAGCATGTCAAATAGCATCAGAAGTATCACGGGATGGTCAGAAAGTTACGGCAACATGTGACGCTACCAGGTCCCATGGCAAACCCTTGATCTACGCAACCTAGCCTGTCCACTAGCTAAATGCCACCCGATCCTTTTCTACTTGAGAGTCAGTGTGGTGTAGTCGTTAACAGCATGGATCCAGGGCTCAGGAAACCTGGGTTCGAGTCCCCGCTCAGCCATGGAGCCCACTGGGTGACTTTGGGCCAATCACAGACTCTCGGGCCAGCCTCCCTCACAGGGTTGTTGTTGCTGTGGGAGTCAGTCTGAGAGCAGCAGGAGGAGGAGGATATTAGCCTCTTTGAGATCTTTAAAAAAAGGAAAAAGGAGATCCCACGAAATGAGACTGGACTTTCTGCATGCAAAGAAGAAGATGGAAGAAGAAGTTGTCAGTTCAATTTGCTGCCGTTTGCTCTATTCTGTTTCCCTCCCAGCACAAGGCTCAGCTTTTTGAGTGCCGGAAGCTTAACATGCACAGCACGTTAATGCTGGCTTCCAGGGGCGGGGGGGGGGGGGGGGGGGGGGCGGGCAGGGCAGAGTTCCCCTGCAGCACACCGGATGCCAACACACCGCATGGGCTCTGCAGAAAGCGAACTCACGAGAGACGCTGAAGCCGAAGACATTCTCGTAATCCTTCAGCAGCTTCTTCAGTAGGGTGCTCTTTCCCGCTCCTGAAGGCCCGCTCAGGACGACTGGCCGCGGTCCCGTCATAACTGTGGAAAGGGAATTGGTGGTTTCATTCGGAATATGGACCTTTGAATCTTTTGTCATCGTCTTGCATCCTCTTTAGAACGGGCGTGCCAAACCACAAGCCGACGGGACAAATCCAGCCCATCTGGGGTCCCAATCCGGTTATCTGGACTTCTCCAGGTGGCTACACCCTCGACTCCTTTCCCAAGCCCAATAGTCTCCCAGCGCTTCTGCTGTTGTGTCCAACTGCCTTCTAAAAGGCTGAAATGTCTCTCTGCGACTTAGTTACTCCCTATAAGAGCTTCAAATGAAAACATGCAGGTGCTTTGGCTCCACCCCTTTGGTCTCAGCCCCTCCCCACTGTCTTTGGCCCCACCCACCACAAGAATGCTTCTTGCTTTGGGGATCAGGCCTTGGGTTGGAAAAGGCTGAAGGCTCCTGCTGTTGAAAGGCACATAAGAAACTTTCACAGTACTGCCTCGCACTTCTTCATATTGACGTATTTCTGAACCTCAGGCCAACACTGATGTGAGAGCAGCTACCCAGATACTGAACGCAACACTGTTTGGGAGACCTGTAACTGGGAACGTTCCCTCTTTCTGGGCATGGTGCTGTGTCAAGTCCCTGCTCCGATTCCTTATTACCGGAGGTGTCTTTACTCCAATACCTTTCTCCGTCTCAGCCCTATTTCCATGCCTAGCAACTACCACACACCACATTCAGGCAGGAAAGATTTCCATGCCCAAAACAGAACTTCAGCTATTGAGCAGCATACAAATATAATACAGCAATAAACGACAGCCCCGGAAGTAAAGGCGCAAGGAGGACGGTCGGCATTAAGAAGTAAGCGGAGCAGTTTGTGTTTTATTTATTTATTTTTATTTTTTGATTTATACCCTGCCTTTTTCCTACAAAGGTCTCAAGGCAGCTTACATCTCTTCAGCCATCTTATCCCCACAACAACAACCCTGTGAGGTAGGCTGGGCTGAGTGTCTGTGACTGGCCCAAAGTCACCCAGTTGGCTCCATGGCTGAGCGGGGACTCAAACCCGGATCACCTGAGTCCCAGTCCCATGCTCTTCACCACTACACCACACTGGCTCTCTCAAAACACGCAACGGTGCAGCGATCAAGAGAGCTGGACTGAGACTCAGGAGACTTGGATTCCAATCTCAACTCAGCCATGAAGCGGACTTTGGGCCACTCACCAGCTCCACCCTGGCCTACATCACAGGGCTGCTGGTCGAAGGATAAAACAGAGAGCACAAGTCTCTTGTAAGCTGCCTTGGGTTCTTTGCAAGAGGAAGAAAGGTGCAAGTCAGTTAGGTATCTCCCAGTCAGTAGATATTTCAAGAGAAGCCGTCAGGCTAAACCTCTTTTCCCCAGTAACTACTGCGTGCAGAGAGAAGCGTCAGTTCTTAATTTTCCATTGTCTAAGTCATGACTGCTAGGCGATCAAACCGGTCAGTCCTAGAAGAGATTAACCCCGGCGGCTCTTTAGAAGGCCAGATCCTGGAGATGAAGCTCAGATACTTTGGCCACTCGATGAGAAGGAAGGACTCCCTGGAGAGGAGCCTAATGCTGGGAACAACTGATGGCAAAGGAAGACGGGGACGGCAGAGGATGAGGGGGCTGGAGGGGGTCACTGAAGCAGTCGGCGTGAGCTTAGGTGGACTCCGGGGGACGGTGGGGGACAGGGGGGCCTGGAGGAGTGTCGTCCGTGGGGTCGCGATGGGTCGGCCGTGACCTCGCGACAAACACCTCGTGCTAAAAAATGACCCACACTTTCCTTTTTGTAAACTGTTCTGCTGGGCAAGTACACCATTTCCTACTGCCTGGCACCTGGAGTCTAGGGGGGAAAATTAGCATTGATATAGATTTAGTTGCAAAGTAATCTCTTATATCTGTCCAAGATTCAGAGAGATAATTACACTTTCACTGAATTGCCAGGGGTCAGCGTCTCTGTGGACCTGAGGAGTTGATTTACTAACAACAGTGTTACATAAAAAATGGTGTTTGAGATTACAATGCTAATAGATGCAGCCACTGGGGAGAACAGGCAGGCTAAAACTAATTCGATGGAACTGCAGTTTTGTCCTTCTTCTCTTACCATAATTCAAATCACTTTCATCATTCAATTTATAGGAATGGGTTTGGCAGCAATTACAGAAAACTGGAAAAATTGCGTTGCAGTGTGAGCTGTTCCTGGTTAGCCTGAGCCTGTGATTTTTGTTTTCGCCCTTCTTCTACCCTTTCCATTGTAACTAAGGTAACTGTAGGTTGTGTTTTCCCAGTTGCAATGTATGGCTGTGAAAGCTGGACCATAAGGAAGGCTGAGCGCCGAAGGGTTGAGGCCTTGGAATTCTGGTGCTGGAGGAGCCTCTGCGAGTCCCTTGGACCGCAAGGCGATCAAACTGGTCAGCCCTAGAGGAGATCAACCCCGACTGCTCTTTGGAAGGCCAGATCCTGAAGATGAAGCTCAGATACTTGGGCCACCTGATGAGAAGGAAGGACTCTCTGGAGAAGAGCCTGATGCTGGGAACAATAGATGGCAAAAGAAGGAGGGGCGGCAGAGGATGAGGTGGCTGGATGGGGTCCCTGGGGCAGTCGGTGTGAGCTTAGGTGGACTCCGGGGGATGGTGGGGGACAGGAAGGCCTGGAGCAGTGTCGTCCATGGGACTGCGATGGGTCAGACATGACTTCGCGACTAACAACAGCAAAAGTCATGCTCGGTGGCACTGTACTTGCCCTGCACATTTTGAAAGCCCTCACACATCTTTCCATCCTGTGTCATTTCAAGGAAATGCAGAGCTCCCGAGAGCCATTGCTTAGCCAATGGGAGTTGGAATCAAAGTGTGTTAGTCTGAGACGGTCATCCATAAAGGATGTTTCCCCAGGGTGCTCCGGAAGGGTATTCTTGGCACAAGGCAAGAATCAGAAAGCCAGGCAGAACTTTGCAAGCCCATGAACAAACTGAGTTTTTTTAAAGTTGCACTTACACTGCCGAGGCCTCAGGTGCTGCCCCCGTCTCACCCTGAGCAGAGTCCCTTCAGTGCTTTCTGCTTTCTATCCTGAGCCCACCCTGCTCCCCTCCAAACCTTAGAGAACGTGGGTTTCCTAATATGCTCCCCAGAGAGGTTCGTCTGGAGCTGACACCTTGTTCTTTTCGGTGCCAGGCCAAACCCTTTTTATTTCCCCAGTATTTTAAGCTTTAGATTGAGATTTTAAGTGGGTTTTTATTGTATAGAATGGATGCTGTGCTCGACGTTGTTTTATTGTGAGGCTGTCCCAAGACCATTTGGAAGTGGATAGTATGCAAAAGTTTTAAACAAACAAACAAACAAACAAAGAAATGCAACAGTGGCAAGCTATATTTAGCATGGTTCCACATCCTGACATATTCTGCTCCTAACAAGCGTGCATTCGGAAAAATTGTTGTAAATGCAAGTGCTGCCACATTATATTAGAAACATCTGTTTACTCTGTGCCATGGAAGGAGGCTGAGAACATGTTGGAGAACCCAGAGTGAAACTTCGGAAAAAGTTAGGACACAGCTGTAAAATGATGCAGACGCCCTGATTCCTGAAATCAGAATAGTAAGAGTCCATCTTTACATCTGTATCATTCATTCAGAAAGAGGACCAAGGAGAAGAAAATGATGAGAAATGGGATTTAAAGGCCACACATGTAAGATCCCTTCTGTGGTTTTTTTCTTCTTTTTCTTTTTCAAAGATCCCATCTCATCTGGAATCTTGTTCCTCATCTCCAACTCCCCTCGAGGCCATGGCTCGGCCTCAGGCCAGCAAATCCCATATATAACTTGTGCCACCCCTGCCTCGAGAGGTGCTGGACAGCAATTCCCACCAACCCTCGCCAGCATGGCCATCAGCCAAGCACCTGCATCTGCAAGGTGGTCCTTGTCCACACGCCGGCTGACCTTCCTCTAAAAGGGAAACAGGGCCAAATGTCCTACTGCACAAGCTACGCTGACTCTTCCTGAACAAGGCTCGTCCTTCTAGAAGTTCCACAGCTAAAATTTTCATAAGGATTTCCATCAACTTCCTAGCTTCTAGCCTACCACATCGCCAAGACCCAACAGCTCCTGCAGGTGCTTTAAACATGTGCAGTAAGGAAAGTAAAAGTTTAACTACTTTCCAAACCTCTTGTGAAAGTTATACGGATGCTACATATACCTGTAAGAAAATCAAATTTCACATTTGGTCCTTTACGTCATCTCCAGGGGATGCTGGCCTGTTCGGATGAGATTAATAGTAATGGGTCACTTTGTTTGAGAAATTTCTCCATCACCACCCTTATTTGTCTCGACTCTTCCAAAGACCGTCGGGTAAAACTGGTTCCAAGACCTTCTGCAGCAACGACTCAATGCAAGAAACACGCCGTGCTTCTCTGCGGTCTTCCTAGCCACCCCTCTGTACTCTCCATCTTTGGCATATAACAATCCAACAGTTTCCCTGACTGGAATCTTGCATCTGATATTTGTAATCGTTTTGTGTTATGTTCCCCCAGTTCTTTATTTGCTTGTCCCACTGTCATGGAGAAGTAAAATTATTCCAACCAATGCACACCTCCTTCCCAAACCCATACTAAAGAACTGCCACGCTTTGGAAAAGCTTTCTGAAAGACCCTTGGCTCTTTTTGTTCATATTTCAGCCCTTATTTGTTAGCAAAAGAAAAGGAAGAACTCCCAGCCTAGAATAACTGCCGAATACCCATGGCAGGTCTCAGTACCATCTCTGCCCTCTCAAACTGTTTTCACCTTACCTTTGGTCTTCTCAAAATACGATACAATCCTGCCCCTTTTTTCTGAGAGCTGCAGGCTGACCTTGATCACACAAGAGGGAAAAAAGGAAGAACAGGGCAGATCTGCTAGCTATTTGTGACTACCTAAAGCCTTAATTACTGATCCTTCACCTTGAGACAGCCAATGAGAGACTAATCCCCTCCCCTGCAGTTTTGACGCTTCCCCTGCTTTTAATGGCTTAAAGATTCGGCCACACCTGAAC